CTCACGGGGCCAGCCACCGGCGATGCCACGGCTCTGCACCTCGCCGTGCCTGCGTCCCTAGTCATGGATGCCGCCGCGGCTCCGTGTTATACCGCCGTTTCTTCGGCGTGGCCCGGGGAGGCCGCAACGCCGTGGTGCCTCGCCGCGTCGCGAGAGGTTGCCGCGGCTGCGGCCGCTGTCCCGCACCTCGCTGCGCCGGCGGGGTGGGCCGCGGGGGCCGCCGCTGTTTCGTGTTATACCGCCGCGTCTTCGGCGTGGCCCGGGGAGGCCGCAACGCCGTGGTGCCTCGCCGCGTCGCGAGAGGTTGCCGCGGCTGCGGCCGCTGTCCCGCACCTTGCTGCGCCGGCGGGGTGTGCCGCGGGGGCCGCCGCGGCTCCGTGTTATACCGCCGCGTCTTCGGCGTGGCCCGGGGAGGCCGCAACGCCGTGGTGCCTCGCCGCGTCGCGAGAGGTTGCCGCGGCTACGGCCGCTGTCCCGCACCTCGCTGCGCCGGCGGGGTGGGCCGCGGGGGCCGCCGCGGCACCGTGTTATACCGCCGTCCGGAGCAGCGGGGGCGGCCGGGACCTTCCCGTCCGCAGGAGGCGGACACAGTGGCCTGCTTCCGCTGTGGTCAGCAGGGCCACATTGAGCGGGGCTGCCGGAATGCACCAGGGGCCTTTGGAAAAGGGACTCCACCTTCTCCCAGACCCTCGTTGGCATCGGGTCCGGGGCCCCAGGCGAGTCGCGACGCATCATCTGCGCGGCCGCTCCCTTCACCTCATGCATCTAGCGGGGCTAGGGCCCATCGTCATGGGGTTGTCCTCGAAGGGTCGGGTGCACCATCGTCATCACCCCCTCAATGGCCCAGACAGACCCGCCACTGGGATGTGCTTGCGCATAGGATGGTGGCGGCAGCTGCCGGCTCCTCAGCGGTGGCAGGATATGTGCAAGGGGTGCACGTTCGCCTCCTGGTGGATACGGGGGCGTCGGCCACCATTATTTCTGAGGCCATTTTTGGGCTGCTACCCCGCAGCGTGGGTCCGTTAAGGCCGGTTCGCGGGGCTTGTGTCGCCGCGAACGGCGGCAGTTTGGGCATCTTGGGCCACGTTGTAGCGTCGGTTCGGGTTGACGAGATTGAGTTGGCCGGGCCTATTTTGGTCTCCAGGACCTTGGCAGTGCCATGCCTCTTGGGGACCGACTTTTGTCTAGGATGCCCATCCGAATTCTCGTTGACCAGGGCTGTGTGGAAATGCCATCAGGGAGGCGGCTTGCAATTCCTACAATCGCCTACCGTCCTGTCTCCATTGGTCGCCAGTGTACGGGCCTTGAATAAAGCGCCGGTGACCGTACCACAGGCGTCACAAATCCTGATACCCCTTAGGTTGCGCAAACCGCTCGAAATGGGCTCCACGGAGACGGGTATCCTCCTGTCCCCGTCAAGCTACTTTTCAAGGATGAAGGGGTTGGTGGGCGCCTTGACAGCCGTGTCGGGGGGCCAGGACCTTTTTTTGCAGGTCCTCAATTCGGGACCCTTGCCGGTCGTAGTCCCGGCCGGCGCCGTCCTGGCACACGCGACCCCGGCTCCTCCACCCGAGAGCGCTGCCCCAGATGGAGGGGTCGTGGCGGCCGTGATGCGCACGGGGGACCCCGACGCATCATGGATCGCCACGTTGTGCGACGAAAATCCCTCGTTGTCCTCCGGGGAACGTCGGCAACTCCGCGACCTCATCGAGCGGTTCACCGATGTGTTCAGCCAAAGTAAGTTTGATTAGGGTCGCACTACTCTTTTGGACCCACCACATAGACACGGGCGACGCGGCCCCTATTCGACTTAATTCCCACCGCTTTAGCCCAGCGGAAAAAGATCATGTCCGCTCGGCTGTCGACGAAATGTTGGCGGCGGACATCATCTCCCCATCTACTAGCCCTTGGGGTGCCCCCATTGTGCTAGTCAAGAAACGGGACGGGAGTCTCCGGTTCTGCGTCGATTTCCGTAGATTGAACAAGATCTCGGTGGCTGATGCATATCCATTGCCTCGCATGGATGATTCCCTGGACGCCCTCTCGGGTGCGCGGTTCTTTTCGACTTTAGATTTGCTCTCCGGCTTCTGGCAATTGCCACTGGATGAGGCCTCTAGACCCAAGACAGCGTTCCGCACGCCCCAGGGGTTGTTCGAGTTCAATCGGCTTCCTATGGGTCTCCATTCGGCCCCGGCCACCTTCCAGCGTCTCATGGAGATGGTCTTGGCGGGGCTGCAGTGGGAGTCTTGTCTAATCTACTTGGATGACGTTATTGTTTTTGGCCGTACGTTTGGTGAGCACTTGCAATGCCTTGAGGCGGTGTTCGTCAAAGTGCGTGCTGCTGGCTTGAAATTCAAACCCCAGAAATGCCACTTACTACAACCATCGGTGAAGTATTTGGGACACATTGTTAGCACGTCAGGTGTCGCCACGGACCCGGAAAAAACGGCTTGTGTCCGGACGTGGCCGACTCCCACATCTGTCGCGGAGGTGCGTAGCTTCGTTGGCTTCGCATCGTACTATCGCCGGTTTGTCCGCGATTTTGCGACAATTGCGAAGCCAATGCACGCCCTTTCCGCCAAAGGCCATAGGTTTCATTGGGGCGCAAAGGAGGAGGCGGCTTTTGCGGCGCTTCGCACGGCATTGGCGGATGCGCCGCCCTTGGGGTACCCGGATTTTTCGAAACCCTTCCTGCTCGATACCGATGCCAGTGACACGGGAATTGGGGCTGTCCTGGCCCAGGTGGTCGACGGGGTTGAGAGGGTGGTAGCCTATGGCAGTCGCGTTCTGTCCCCGACGGAACAGCGATATTGTGTGACCCGGAGGGAGCTTTTGGCCATAGTTTATTTTGTTCAGTTGTATAGACCATATTTGTAGGGAAGGCTGTTTACGGTCCGAACCGACCACGCGGCCCTGCAATATTCGCTGAAGATTAATCAGCCCTCGGGTCAGCTGTCTCGCTGGCTCGAAGTGCTCCAGGATTACCCCTTTGATGTAATCCACAGGAAGGGGACACAGCATGGAAATGCGGACGGTTTATCCCGATTGCCGGCAGGCGGCGGGTGTGCTTGCGCCCTGGGCTCTAGCCGTTGCAAGGCCCCAGGGGACGCCGCGGCCCAGTTGGTCGCGTCAGCCGAGGCGGCCACCCCTCCAGGTGCGGCTGCGCACGCGGATTTCGGCCTTGGACTTCCCCGGGAGGTATGGTCCAGCTTGCAGATGGAGGATTCCTCTCTGCTGAAGCTATGGCGCCGTGTCGGCCATAAGGCCCTGAGCTCAGCTTCGTCGGCTGCCCCGGCGATCGCCGTGCATGACGGACTCCTCATGCGTTGGGATGCCCAATTGGAACGCTATTGTGTGGTTGTGCCCACTAGCCTGCGTGGTAAATTAACCCGAGCCATTCACGAGAAGCTTATGCACCTTGGCTACCACAAGACCTTATTGACCCTTAAGCGGGACTATTACTGGCCGGGTGTTGAAGGTGACGTGGCACTGATTTTGAAGGGTTGCCACGATTGCGCGCGGAGGAAGGCCCCAGTTGTCCGGGACCGGGCTCCGCTGCAGTCCATCCGGGTTTCTCGCGTTAATGAGCTCGTGGCGCTCGACATTTTGGGGCCATTCCCTGCATCCCAACGGGGCCACAAATACCTCTTGGTGGGCGTTGAGTACCTCACACGTTGGCCCATGGCATGGCCTTTGGTCGATCAGTCGGCCTCTTCTATCACCGAGGCCTTCGTCCAGGGGTACGTGTTTGACAAGGGCGCGCCGGAACAATTGTTGACTGACCAGGGGCAGAATTTCTCGTCTAAGTTGCTCAAGGAGGTGTGTGACCTCCTTGGCACCAAGAAAATCCGCACCTCGCCCTACCACCCCCAGTCAGACGGGATGGTAGAGCGCTTGAACCGCACCCTTACGTCCATGCTGTGCCACCAGGTAAACACGTCCCAGTCAGACTGGGACCTGTTCGTCCCGGGGGTCTTGGCGGCGTATCGGTTGGCCCCTCATGCCTCCACGGGATTTTTGCCTTTTTATTTGATGTACGGTAGGGAACCGGAGCCCCCGGTGCACGTCCAGATGGACGTTGGCTCCTCCAAGAAGGGGTCGGCAGTGCCGACCCCTTTGAAGGTCGCGCTTGACCGGCTGCGCGAGGCGCGACAGGCCGCTGCCGAGAATTCCGCAAGCCGGCAGGCGGCTAATGAGCGGCTGCCCAAACACCAGGCAGCTGGCCTCCCGTGGGTAGCGGGTCAAAAAGCGTGGCTGCATTGTCCCCAGGTCCCCGTTGGCACATCGGCCAAATTGCATCACCCTTGGCAGGGCCCCGTGGAGGTTGTGGAGGTCCGCCGGCCGCAATGCGTCCGGATTCGGTTCGGTCGCCGGCAGTGGATAGTGCACCCGTCCCGGCTCAAACGTTATGTTCCATCTACCCTGGGGGATCCACCCCCAATTCCGGAACGGCCGGCTGATGATGTATCCGGCGTGCCTGACCGGCCGGGTCTCGTTGACGGAGGTGACGTCCGACCTGTGTGTGTGCCCCCAGGCCCCTCCCGAGTGAGGCCGACAGAGACCCCCCAGTCACCGGAGGCCACGGCGGTGGGCCTGTTGCCCGCTGACGGGCCACCTGCACGGGTGGCGGACACCGCACGGGGAAGCGGGCCAGCAGCGCATACCCGCTCGAGGGGGATGCGGCTCCGGTGACGGCCCTGATGGCCATTCAGCGGGCCCAGCCCCTGGCGCCCGTTCGGCGCTATCCGGCGGATGAGGCCTTCGGGCTCTATTTGTTTTGTTTTTTTGTTGTTGTGGTTGTTGTTGCTGTTCTGCTTGAGGGGCCGTGCTGCCCTAAGGTTGAGTTTTCTAGCAGCCGGTTTTACCTTCAGGCACACGAACTCGTGATTATTCGGTCTTCGGTCCGGTGTGGGGCCCCGCTTGCGGGGTGATTGCAGCCGGGTCGGCTGTTTTTTTTCCCGGGGGGGGGGGGGGGGGTGATGTAGAGGAGTAGAGGAGAGTGGTGGCGTCGTGTGCGCTGTCCGGTGCGGTGACATCACGGGACGTGGGGTCGCACGCGCTGGGCAGTGCACGTGACGTCACGCCTCCTAGGGTATTTAAGGGAGACCCCGTGACGTAAGCGGGGTCACTGGAGGAGCGGGGATAGTCAACAGGGTGAAGAGGGAACCAGGGATAGTGGCACGTGTTAATAAACCCTGGCGGAAGCCCCTAACTCACCTCTGTCTCCGAGTACGTCCGTCTGAACTACTCAACACCTGTAAAACGACACCTGGGAGCCAGAAATCTTTCTGATTGAGAGGGGTTCAAACACTTATTTCCCTCATTAAAATGCTAATCAATTTATAACATTTTTGACATGCGTTTTTCTGGATTTTGTTGTTGTTATTCTGTCTCTCACTGTTCAAATAAACCTACCATTAAAATTATAGACTGATCATTTGTTTGTCAGTGGGCAAACGTACAAAATCAGCAGGGGATCAAATACTTTTTTCCCTCACTGTACTAATATTCGTTAGTCTTAGTGTACACATACTAATATTAGTATTAGTGTACACGAACTAATATTCGTTAGTATTAGTGTATACATACTAATGTGGTGGTCATATTGACACACACGGCCCGCCAAAACCAGGGTGCTTACCGGTATGGGATAGTGTGTACTCTTAGCTGGGACCCGCCGAGGGGAGGGGGCTGTGGGCAGTGTCTACGATCCCACAGAATCCCCCGCCCCTCGGTGGGGAGCGGTAGAAACCGGTCCGGACCGGTCGGGCCAACGGTGGTTAGGACCCCTCTGAGGGGAGGGGGCTGGGGGAAGCTACGATCCTGCAGAGCCCCGCCCCTCAGGGAGAAACAGTATATAAAGCGGGTCCTTGAGAGCGCCTCAAGCCGAAGTCAGAAGCTGCCAGGACAGAAGACCCTGGACCCCAAGCCACCGACGTCCTTTTAGGGGCCAGGGCTCAGTGCGGTGCCAGTGGTCGTGAGGTTAGGACCCTGAGGTTCCCTCGGCCTGGTGTCCTTCTAAGGGCCAGGTCCGGACGGGCCAGTGGTCAGGGATCCATCGGACCAGCGGTGGGTCAGCCTCCCCTAGGTCTAGCCAGCCGGAGGGCTTGAGAAATCAGAGTGGCTAGGTAGATAGCCCGGAGGCTGTACCTCCCCAGGTTGTCGGTGGAATGGGCCATTACCCCTTTTGTGTTAGGGTTTAAGTGTACCCTATTATATTATACATAAGACCGTGTTTCCTCTACAATGACTCCGTCTCCCTACAAGGACATTACACTAATATTAGTTAGTATTAGTGTGCACATACTAACACTAGTTAGTATTAGTGTACACAAACGAATATTCGTTAGTACAAATACTGATATTCGTTAGTATTAGTGTACATATACTAATATTCGTTAGTATTAGTGTATATATACTAATATTAGTTAGTATTAGTGTATATATACTAATATTAATTAGTATCAGTGTACACATACGAATATTAGTTAGTATTAGGTACGCAAACTAATATTAGTTTGTGTTAGTGTACACACACTAATATTAGTTAGTATTAGAGTACACATACCAATATTCGTTAGTATTAGTGTATACATACAAATATTCGTTAGTATTAGTGTACACATACTAATTTTAGTTAGTATTAGTGTACACATACTAATATTAGTAAATATTAGTGTACACATACTTAAATTAGTTAGAATTAGTGTACACATACTAATATTAGTTAGTGTTAGTGTACACATACTAATATTAGTTAGTATTAGTGTACATGAACTAATATTCGTTAGTATTAGTGTACACATACTAATATTAGTTAGTATTAGTGTACATGAACTAATATTCGTTAGTATTAGTGTACACATACTAATATTCGTTAGTATTAGTGTACACAAACTAATATTAGTTAGTGTTAGTGTACACATTCACTAATATTAGTTAGTGTTAGTGTACACATACTAATATTAGTAAGTAATAGTGTACACAAATTAATATTAGTTAGCATTAGTGTACACACACTAATATTCGTTAGTATTAGTGTACACACACTAATATTAGTTAGTATTAGAGTACACATACCAATATTCCTTAGTATTAGTGTACACATACAAATATTCGTTAGTATTAGTGTACACATACTAATTTTAGTTAGTATTAGTGTACATGAACTAATATTCGTTAGTATTAGTGTATACATACTAATATTAGTTAGTATTAGTGTACATGAACTAATATTCGTTAGTATTAGTGTACACATACTAATATTCGTTAGTATTAGTGTACACAAACTAATATTAGTTAGTGTTAGTGTACACATACTAATATTCGTTAGTATTAGTGTACACATACTAATATTCGTTAGAATTAGTGCACACATACTAATAATCGTTAGTTTCAGTGTACACAAACTAATATTCGTTAGTATTAGTGTAAACATACTAATATTCATCTTCTTGGTTCTTTCGGTAAAGTCATGTAGAAGGTAAATAATAAAATAATCAAAATAAAACATAATTAAATAATTCTCACGACGTTTCGGCCACAACCCAAGCAGCCGTCCTCAGGTGAAGAACAGGTCTGTCGGAAAGACAGCGTCTGAATGAAACACCACAAGGCTTGGAGCGTATATTTAAGCTGGGTTGGAGGGGGAAGAGCGCCTTGACAAAATAATTTGCATATCAAGAGGAATTTAGCATATTTATGGGAAATGCAGATATGGGATTAGTCATTACTTGTGGAATGCGTAGGAGGTGGCCGGGGTTTTTTGTCTGAAATCCTCCAGCCTTTCGCTGGAAAAACCACCTCTGCGGTAATAAAATCTACTGACCTGGTATCGACAATCAAGAGAATTTCCCTGTCCCCAGACGACCTGCTTGTCAGTTTTGATGTGGTTTCCTTATTCACCAAAGTTCCTGTACCTGACACCATCGCAATCATTGAAGACTTGGTTCATCAAGGACTGAATACTGGGGTACCCCCCTGGTGAGACACTGCTTAACCAATACATACTTAACCTGGAATGGAACTTTCTACAAACAAATTGAGGGCACCCCAATGGGCTCCCCCCTATCTTCGGTTGTAGCCAACGTTTTCATGGAGAAATTTGAGACTGACGCCATCCAGACTGCCACTCTACGCCCGACCTTATGGAAGAGGTACGTAGATGATACTTTTGTCATCTGGCCACATGGCCGGCCTGCTCTAAACAAATTCCTCGACCACATCAATTCCATACACCCAGCCATCAGATTCACCATGGAAGTCGAAAAAGATGGCAAGCTACCCTTTTTGGATGTCCTAATTAAAAAGAGACCTGATGGTTCAATGAGCCACTCTGTCTACAGGAAAGCCACCCATACGGAAGGTTACCTAAAACCGGATTCCTACCACCATCCATCCCAGAAGAATTCCCTCATCAAGACTCTACACCATAGAGCCCAATGCATCTCCGACCAGGAACACATTGCCAGTGAACTCAAGCACATACGCCAAGCTCTTAAGGCTAATGGTTACTCCGACTACACAATCCGCAAAGCCATCACTCCAACCATCAAGAAGGATCCTGTTGAGGAGCCTTTCAAAACCATCACCTTACCCTACATTGCTGGGGTCGCAAAAAAGATCTCCAAAATCCTGATTAAACACAAGATCCAGGTCAGATTCAACACAGTACATAAAATCCGTGATCTGGTCCCGTCTGCAAAAGATGTGGTTCCAGACATACAGTACTCTGGCGTCTACAAACTAAGTTGCCTCTGTGGTAGCAGTTATATTGGAGAAACCAAACGACATGTCTCGGACCGCATCCGTGAACATAAAGCAGATCTGAAACACGGTAGGACAAACACCTCAGCCATGGCAGATCACTGTTACAATTCAGTGTGCTCACATGACATTGACTTCTCCAAGACAGAGGTTCTCTGCAAGCCATCTGGCTACCATGAGAGATTCGTTCATGAGGCGATCCACATATACAAACACAGAGACAATTTCAACCGAGAAGATGGATTCTGGCTCAGCAATCATTGGAAGGACGTAATTAACCATTTCGGATCTTAACTGATTGTGTTCACGTTTACAGTGACTTTCAGACCGCAGTCCACTCACTGGCATTGACTATATATCTTTTATTCTCCGCAGGGAATGGATTCTTTGCTCCGCTGCAAGTCTCCTACCACCACTCTCCCATTGACATATTTCGCTGCTTCCTCTTAGTACCTTTCACGCGACGGTCAATGGTATAGTGTATAGCAGATTGTATAATAATAAATAGTATAAAAGTGTAATGTTTAATACAATGTATAGGGTAATATATAGTATCGTAATTGTATAGTGAATATACAGCAGTGTGGGATACAGTAGGGTGGGTAGAATAATACAGTGTAAGACTACATTATACAGTCTTTAAGCATATTAGTTGCTGCAGCTCCATACTATTAACATTCTTTCTCTTTATTAATGCTAACCCTACTCCCTCCCTTTGATGCTGCTAATCCTGCATAATGCACAGGCATATTATGACTTTGAAACCCCCCGCCCACCTCCTACGCATTCCACAAGTAATGACTAATCCCATATCTGCATTTCCCATAAATATGCTAAATTCCTCTTGATATGCAAATTATTTTGTCAAGGCGCTCTTCCCCCTCCAACCCAGCTTAAATATACGCTCCAAGCCTGGTGGTGTTTCATTCAGACGCTGTCTTTCCGACAGACCTGTTCTTCACCTGAGGACGGCTGCTTGCGTTGTGGCCGAAACGTCGTGATAATTATTTTATTACGTTTTATTTTTATTATTTTATTATTCCCCTTCTACGTGACTTTACCGAAAGAACCAAGAAGATGAATCCCTGCAGTCACGAAAGCCTTTAATCGAAATTTATACTAATATTCCTTAGTATTAGTGTACACATGCTAATATTCGTTAGTATTAGTGTACACATACTAATATTAGTTAGTATTAGTGTACACATACTATTATTAGTTAGTATTAGTGTATGCATACTAATATTAGTTAGTATTAGTGTACACACACTAATATTAGTTAGTATTAGTGTACATATACTAGTATTTGTTAGTATTAGTGTAGATATACTAATATTAGTCAGTATTAGTGTACACACACTAATATTTGTTAGTATTAGTGTACACATACTAATGTTTGTTAGTATTAGTGTACACACACTATTATTAGTTAGTGTTAGTGTACACATACTAATATTAGTGAGTATTAGTATACACATACTAATATTAGTAAGTACAGTATTAGTGTACACAAACTAATATTAGTTTGCATTAGTGTACACATACTAAAATTAGTTAGTGTTAGTGTACACATACTAATATTCGTTAGTATTAGTGTACACATACTAATATTCATTAGTATTAGTGTACACATACTAATATTCGTTAGTATTAGTGTACACATACTAATGTTTGTTAGTATTAGTGTACACACACTATTATTAGTTAGTGTTAGTGTACACATACTAATATTAGTGAGTATTAGTATACACATACTAATATTAGTAAGTACAGTATTAGTGTACACAAACTAATATTAGTTTGCATTAGTGTACACATACTAAAATTAGTTAGTGTTAGTGTACACATACTAATATTCGTTAGTATTAGTGTACACATACTAATATTCATTACTATTAGTGTACACATACTAATATTCGTTAGTATTAGTGTACACATACTAATTTTCGTTAGTATGAGTGTACACATACAAATATTCGCTGGTATCTGCATACACATGCTGTTAATCACTCGTGAATAATAATTAGTGAATAGTAATCAATAATAACAATAGTGCTACACTAACATGACCCTGTGTGTGTGTGCAATGGTAGTGAAGAGTGGTGATGATGCCAGCACCACGATGTTGATGCACACTCTCACACCCACACACAGACATTGTGTGTCACAGCCTCGCACACTCTGAAATCCACACACACAGACATTGTGTGTCACAGCCTCGCACACTCTCACACCCACGCACAGACATTGTGTGTCACAGCCTCGCACACTCTCACACACATACATTGTGTGTCACAGCCTCACACACCCTCACGTCCACACACAGACATTGTGTGTCGCAGCCTCGCACACTCTCACACCCACACACACAGACATTGTGTGTCACAGCCTCGCACACTCTCACACCCACACACAGACAGTGTGTCACAGACTAGCAAACTCTCACATCCACACACAGACATTGTGTGTCACAGCCTCGCACACTCTCACATCCACACACAGACATTGTGTGTCGGAGCCTCGCACACTCTAACATCCACACACACAGACATTGTGTGTCACAGCCTCGCACACTCTCACACCCACACACAGACATTGTGTGTCACAGCCTCGCACACTCTCACATCCACACACAGACATTGTGTGTCACAGCCTCGCACACTCTCACATCCACACACAGTGGGTGAGTCATTGAGTGAGTGAGGTAGTTAAAGTGTGTGTGAGTGTTTAGTCTGGGTAGTATTTTGACCGTGATTGCATCGTCTGTTGTGTAGTCCGGCTCTCTGAACCTCGTGTAGCGATGCACGGTGATGGCTACGTGCGGACAATCTCGCTGCAGTGTTCCACTCAGCTGTGACTTGAGTGAGAGTGATCTCGTGCTGGAGCAGTGGGTGCACCAGCAGTTGTTGTTGTTCACTCGTGTCGCTGTGAACCGAGCGACCTCAGTTTGATTACCGGCTGTGGCTAACAACGGGGCCGAGCGACATCAGAACTGGTCCTGTCCTACCAATTCGTAAAAACACAGACACACAGTGGCCACCGTGGTGAAGTATGGTCAAGCAACCTCCATATTCGCCACGCTATGGGAGGCCTTCATCCAGTGATGGATTGATAAAGGGCTGTAAATGTGGATCTTACACTGAAACTCTCAGACCCAGTCAATAATTTACATTCCGTTGCACTTTTTTAAGTTCTGGTTGTGATGCTTTCGCGATATTTAAACAGCTGTAGTCTGCATCCTGCACTTCATTTAATGTTAACAGTTTATTCCCAATTTGCCCGCACCGAGCACCCTAAGTACATTAAGTTACTTATCATTTGGCTCACGTTCATTTTAATTCTCACCTAGCAGAAACTTTCCTCAACCAACCGTGAACCCACTGCACCCACGCGTGATGGTCAGCATCTAAATGAGCGTGACAAGACTGGAACGTGCTTCGTCCGTAGCTTACAAGTTCGCCCTTTTGCTCTCAAGAAACGCACTGTCACGTTGCTGTTGTTGTTTGCAACTCTTGATGAGTGAGACCCCTCGTGTTGTTAGAGATCTTTCACCCAGCACATCGGTGCCTATTTCATGACCTGAATGTACGCAGGTCTCCCTTGCCAAGGGATCGTGCTGCATAAATGCACTCAAGCCTGGGTAAAACAAAGAACGCCCTCCAAATAGATAGGATTTGTCGGAAATCCACAGTCTGTAATGGAGCCTAACGAAGATCGTCGTGGCAGAGGGACATACCGAGAAAAGGCAGAAGTTTAATTTGGACGCCGCCCACTGAGATTACTTTTGCGAGGTTCAGACCGTGGGAGACGGGGGCTGGGTCATCCTGAGTCTCCTGGGAGACGGAGCTCCTCCTGCACTCACAGCATAGGAACACAGAGTCTAATGAGGATCCATGTCTCTCTACACACACAGCATGAGACACACAGAGTCTAATGAGGGTTCACGTCTCTCTACACAGACAATACAGGCAGCCCCCGACTCACGAACACCCAACCTTACAAACCAGTTTCCATGAAATGATAAAAAAAGTTGACTTAAAGTGCAAACTCCCAGTTGTAGACTGAACCGCAGAACTATTTTGTTCAGAGGAGCGATCCTCCACCAAATGTAATGAGTCGGCCTCATGCCTGGAGTGGTTGCATGTGTACAGACATTGTGTGTGTGTGTATGGAAGTGTGGGGGATACACTCTCACATCCACACACAGACATTGTGTGTCACAGCCTCGCATACTCTCACATCCACACACATACATTGTGTGTCACAGCCTCGCACACTCTCGCATCTAACCAGTCATCTCAGTTAACCAACCCATGGCACCTGGGTCTGTCCCGAGACCTCCTGTCAGCGAGCCTTCGACATTTCACTTGACCTCAAAGTACACCTGGCCTGGTACAGGCGCCGTGATGACGTTACAATCACTTAGTGGTGAATGTTGAGTATAGGTATTGGTGTGGGGAGCGGTAGTGTAGCAGTGAGAGCGCTATGCTACGAAAGCGGCGACCCGGGTTCGATTCTTGCTCACGGCCAAAACCAGTACCTGGTGTGGTGCGTAAACATCGCCACCGGGGAGACAAAAGCAGTGGGCCGTGACGCTGGCCACCCACCCCCTCGTGTGCCATAGTGGCGGCCATCTTAGGCGCTGCTCTCTGAGAGAACTTGCCTCAAACAGCCTGTTAAGGCTACACGGGGGATTGTTGTTTGTGGGGTGTCTTTGTCTTTGTGTGCGTGCATGTGCGCATGCCCTGTGTGTGTGTACAATTGTGTTGATTCATTTTCCCCCTTCCAAAAAACAAGTTAGCATCAAAGTAAGTGATAATAAACTTTTTCTATACTAATGTTACTTTATTTTATCTTTTATTTACTATACAGTCATTTTATAGTGTTAGCTGAAAATGTGCAACATTTCTTAATTATGAGTTTAACAATGCTTCCGTTTTTGTTGAACCGTAACATACTTTATAACACTGACCGTGTTGGCATTTAAATACGGTGCATTATTGAGTTCCGAATTACGAACCGTTCGACCTACAAAGGCGTATCATTAACAAATAACGTGTGCAACCCGAGGACTGCCCATATGGGATGCAACTGCTCGTATTGAATATGACTGCATATGATGGGATTAATTAGGAATCTCATCACGACCGTTTGCTGATTTGTCCACCAGGTGGCAGACAGAGCTCGAGTTTGAGTCTAGGTTGGTACTGACCTGAGACTCTCATGCAGGGGATCCTGAAAAACACAAACCCGCATTTCACATTAACATTGATATCCTAAACAGATGCCCCACCTCCACACAGTCGCCTGCTGTTATCAGTGGATTGCGACATCAGGGAATTAGCAAATACCTGCACACCGAGAATGGTGAAATACAGGGTTCGTTTAATTGGACACGAACGGACGTCTAAAAATTACAAAACCACTCTTTACAGGTCTAGTCCAGCACCTACATGAATGGTTAAATAATTCGTAACAACTCATATTGTTGAGTTCTGAATAACGCAAGGTAAACTATTTTTATCTTACCAGGTAAAGGCCACTGAGCTATTTCACTCTTCAACAGAAGTGAACTGGCCACAAATGACAGCTCAACGAATTGGCTTATCACGTGGACATTTATAATAGCAGCCAAATACTTTAAATGCTTGCTGTTGATTCTAAATGTGGAGGGGAAAACTGGAGGACCCGGAGAAAATATATGTGACCATGGGGGGAGGGAAAGAGAGAGTGAAAAACGCAAACTCTAAATTTACAGCAGGCATCGCCAGGGTCAGGGTCGAACCCAAGAACGCCTGCATACCAGGTGAGGCAGTTAACATATCCTAGTCACCACGGCGAGTGAATGGAGGTGGTGCCACCTGCAGGAAGGAGAGCGGGTCCTGCACAGCGAGGGCAGCGAGCAGTTGGTTGATCTCCTGCTCCAGGCCGCGTGCTCTGCTCTCGTAGCGAGCGATGTCCGCCTGGATGCGGGACAGCACGGAGCAGCCTTCCTCGTCCACGTGCTCCAGCGCCTCCCTCTTCTCCTCCCTCGTCAGCTGTTCCCTCCGGCGCCCAAACTCTCGTCTGATCCGCGCCTTGGCCCCACGCAAAGACTCCTACGCAGAGATATGATGACACGCTATTGAAACGCAAAACAGCACAGTGCGATATGACTTTATAAAGGACTTCGACACGGCCACGTCTCATAACTCCAAACAAAGAGGCAGGTTACTCAACTTTTGAGAACGTCGAGGAATGAAATGCATGAAAGGAGGAGATTTAGTGAGGATATTCATGGGCACTCTTATGCCAAAGTCTAAGTACCCATATTGTTTGCGTGTTTGTTAATATCTGCACATGTCTATGTGTCTCTCTGTACCTGCACGTGCCTGTGTATCTCTCTGTACCTGCACGTGTCTGTGTGTCTCTCTGTACCTGCACGCGCTTGTAGACACCCTTGAGCTGCTGTATCCGTGATTCTGCCGTAGTCTTCTTCTTCTCTCTCACAGTCATCTCGAGTCTGAACGCCTCCTACACACGGGGTAGACAAAAACACGATTGTTGGTACTGCTATCATCATCATCATCATCAGGCTCATGTCTTTAACCCGGAGCCTTGCAGGCCAGTTTCCTGGATCGCCCAGCGATAATCATCGCCCTTTGAATCTTCCATGCTCCCAGGTTTGAGGTGGCCATTAGGAGGCAGTGTCTGAGGTAGGTGGCTGGATCACAGTGCAGTGTATTGCGGAGTCCCCACTCCCTACGCTCGTGTTTTCTACAGTGTTTCCCAACAATAGAATCTCACGGAACCGACAACCATGACCCCCCCCCCCCGAGATATCTACAGCACACACTGTGCGCGACAGTGCGGTAAACACCAAAACTTAAATCCAAAATTTGACAGGAAACTAAGCTGAGTGCCAGAGCGGTATTAGGGTAGGGACAGCTCTGGTGCTGATGGGGCTGCTGCTCGGGTGTGTTGGGACAAGTTGGACAGGACTCAGGGGAGGGAGAGCCATGTGACCAGATTCGCAGCATGCGAACCACTACTCCACCGCTCCCCAACGCATGAACAACTGCACACTCATAACACAGTTTAAACAAATTCCTAGAAATGCAGTGTACGTGATACTAGTAATTTTACGAATATTACTGAAAGCAAATATATGCAGATGAAGTTTAACAAATAGGCGTTGGCGACCAATAACATTCATAAAATAGGTTATTGGGTTATATCGTGTAAATATAGATGTGTCATTAAACATCACACCACCCGACACAGTGCCAATTAGTCACTAATTCAGCACACCAGTGTGTTGGAAAGTAAACCCACAACATTTACAATTAGAGGACCATGACGCTTTGCTTCACTACTGATTACAACCAGCATCATCAGGCGACAGCCAGAATTGAATATGCAGAACAACATTGTGAGTAGCAGCAAACACTATAATGTAAATTTTTCAACACCATCATATTAACACTATAACGATAGAGGAATATTAACAGCGCAACAACGACAACAGAAACAACAAACATCCAAAATCATGACGATGATGATTGACTTGAATATCCTTCATTGTGATGTTTGACTTAAGCTGCCCCCATTTGATTGCCTCTGGCAGGGCCTGACACTGGCAGGATTAAGCTCTGTGAACAGTGAAACTGCCCACGCCAAGTCCCACCCAGTCTGCTGGCTGTGTGCCCTTAGACCCGCACTCTGTTGCCCCATTTCACCTGCCAATCAAAGCGTGGCAGGCTAAACGCTCTGGTAGTTAGCCAAGCTGCACCGTGGCAGCGCTCAACCACAATCCACTGCTCTGTCACGGAATGCAAATACACGGCGTCTATGTTAGAGGCAGGGTGGCATTTTAGACACTAAACATTGCGACAAAATGAAATCTAAATCTGTCCTATGGACAATCAAACCGTGCCTGACGGCCTGTCTCTCCCACTGGAATGGTTTCTGCTTTGCCTCTTTTAAGTTCATGGTCAGTGCACTTTTGAACCGTCTCACGTTTGGAGTATCTCGCTTTAGTCCACCTTTCTTTCCACCCATCATTGACACTCACAAGTACGAATCTTATAATGCCAAGTGTAGTTTACAACTTGGCCAGCTATGTCACAAAGTGCTTTGTCTTGTAACTAAACCACGGAACACCCTGCTTTGCTATCCATTCAAATCAACATTGCCATCTTGCGTGTCTCTGCTGTCTACCGTGTGCCAGTTTTACAATCCGTCTTGCCCAAAGTAATTTGATTGACCGTCACAATGCTGAGACAATAGAATTTACCGAATAATATGCAAATCTAAATGATAGAATAAAGAGCCTCTATCTGAACAACACACACACACAGAATGCAGCAGTCACACTGAGGGATATTGGATTACAGCAGCGATTTATATCTCACCTGTTTTGTCTGTTGTGCATTTTCCACTTGAATGACCTCATGCCCTCTATGTTCCCCAGCGATGGTGCAGACTGTGCAGACCGGGCTCTCATCTTGCTCACAGTAAAGAATGAGCTCCTGTCTGTGCTGCCGGCACCGTCGCTCTTCCAGGTTCGCAATGGGAGCCACCAGGACGTGGTCTCTCAACCTGGGGTTCTCTACATGAGGCTGCAAGTGTGTTGCACAGTAGGACATCTCACATCTCAGGCAGGTCTTCACTGCAGGAGTCTGGCCGCCACTGCAGTTGTCACACGCGATGGTCGCGGCCATCCCGTCTCCAACTCTGAGCTGCTCCGCCAGGTTGGCGAGGGCCACGTTCCTCCTCAGCTGGGGTCGCACAGGGAAGGTCGCTCGGCACTGCGGGCAGCTGAAGCTGCTCGCCGTCTCCCAGGCCGCCTCCAAGCACTGCAGGCAGAACGAGTGTCCGCAGCTCAGCGTGGAGGGACAAATGAATATGTCCAGGCAGATAGAGCAGCGCAGCTCACTATCTACACTCTCACTGGGAGTCGCGCTCCCCATGACTCATGGGCTGAGATGGCTCCCTGTGTGGCTCATCGAGACGCTGAACCAGGACCTCTCTCTTATAGCGATGGTGAAGAAGGAAGTAAAATTATTTAAATATTTTCATTGTCGTAACTGACATCACGAGACACCGCCTGGAATGTGAACCCGCGCCCCGAGGTGCGCAAACAGCAGCCTCAAGGTGAACACGGCTACTGTACATACCTTGACATTTACATAAATGAGTGCTGTTGTTAATATAAATCGATCAGGTTCAGTTACGGTGATTCATTCGTGCGATCAGTGTCGAGAGATAAGTTATTCCTACTACAAAACGTTGGTGAAAATATGTTATCTCCCTCGCCCGGTATGCAGGAAGTCGTGGGTTTGATCCCGACCGTGACACCCAATTTATATTTAAAGTTTGCGTCTCTCTCTCTCTCCTTGGTCGCGTGAATTTTTCTCTGGGTTCTCCGGTTTTTCTCTCTGCATTCACAATCAACATCACGCGTTTAGAGTAGTTGGCTGCAATAAGTTTCCACGTGATAAGCCACTTCATTGAGCGATCATTTGTGGCCAGGTCTTTCTGAAAAATATCCACATTGCTCAGTGAGCCTAACCTGGTAAAATAAATAAATAGTTGGCATAGTTGTAGATATATCATGATGTCCTTTAACTCCATCTCAGTGTAATTACCTCAACATGATGAGTTGCTTGAATGTCATTGTAGCATCCGAGATGGAACTTGTCTGTAGACTCCTGTGACCCATCCTAGAATGTTGAGCCTTTTGCTAGCAGTGTGAATCTATCACCAACTTTACCTGCTTCCATCACCCACTGCTGGCGATGTCACCGTCTCTCACTCTCACCTTGTCCGAGACCGCAGATCCCCGTGCCGGCAATTCACAGCCGCACCCACCGCTTACTTCAGCTGCGTTGTTGTTTCACATTCACACGCACGGCTACTCAACACGCATGCACACGCAGCAACACAAATGCCCATTGGCGTTCACTATGATTGTAAAAAGAGAATGGAATTAAACTAAACTATTTTCATGTTACAAGGTGTAATACCCCACTGAGCGATTAGCTTATTTTTCCAAAGCGGCCTGCCCATCACAAATGATAGCTCAACAAAGTGGCTCATCATGTTGGATATGCATAGCAGCTAAATACTCTAAACACTGAACTCTAAAAGCTTGCTTGAACCCGGAGACGCTCTCTTGGGCTCTGCGGGCGGCCGACGGAGGCGGGGGGGAGGCGACGGAGCCGGGGGGGGTCGACGGAGCCGGGGGTGGGCCGACGGAGCCGGGGGGGAGGCCGTGATGAAAAAAGAAAGATGGCCGCCTGAGGCGCGCGCACCCAGCGGCTGGCGGAGCCGTTTGTGGTAGGCGAGAGGCGCGAGCAGAGGGGGCCGACACTGAACTCACTCACACTACCACTGACTCACTCACACATCATACACTGACTCACTCATCATACGCTGACTCACACATCATACACTCACTCACACTACCACTGACTCACACATCATACACTGACTCACTCATCATACGCTGACTCACACATCATACGCTCACTCACACTACCACTGACTCACCCACACATCATACACTGACTCACTCATAATACGCTGACTCACACATCATACGCTGACTCCAACATCATACACTCACTCACATTACCACTGACTCACTCACACATCATACACTGGGAGTGTCATGCTGCCAGCGATGGCTGCAAGTTTGGTCGTACGTGCTATGTATTTCGTTTGTTGTTAAATTTGAATCACAGTTCCTATGATTACTGTTGTTACATTGTTTTTATAGCTTTATTTTGGTGATTAGAAAACATATGGTTAATCTAAATTGTCTTATGGTTGTTATTGTGGGACTTGCACCACATTGGGATTTTTGCACACAGCGTTTTAATACATCATTAGACCTCCTTTGCCAGTACAAAAATATAATAATAGTTTTTTTCCCCTTTTTCTGGCAACAAAACTGAAACTTTTTTACGAGGATTCATGTATGCATTAACCACAATACTTGTAGTCAAAATGCAAACAAAAACACACTATGATAATATATGCATTGTCTAATGATGTAGATGCTCACCCCGAGCCCTCATTACTTTAATAGTGCATTGTCTTTGAGCTGTACGCCTTCTGGCGTCCTCTGGTCGAGCACCAATTGGGTCGAGGCTCAAAAGAAAGCCGTATCTTGGTGTGGACCAATCATTTTCAAGTATAATGCATATATTTTTATAGTGTGTTTTTGTTTGCATTTTGACTGCAAGTTTTGTCGTTAATGCAGACATGAATCCTTGTAAAAAGGTTTCAGTTTTGTTGCCAGAAAAAAGGGGAAAACCCCTATTATTCGCGTTTTAATACGGTTTTTTTAATATTTGCTGGTTCATTCCAGGATGTTTCTGTTACGCGTCGTCGCTTTAAGATGTTCTGTGTTCATATTTTGTTTGTTGTGGTTGCACCCGACTTAAGAGCCGCATGACTCACAGGGCTATACCTAATAAATGAACTTGAACTCACAGCAGATAACGTATTCCTTTGAGTCTCCACTCAAGTCGGACTTGTGGGAAAACAAGAACCGGATTCTACTGAACACGGCCTGGACTCATCCACTGCGTTTGAAAGCTTCCTTCTACAAGATCACCAATGCGAGCGAAAGGGGTTCCCACGATGTCCACGGCTCATTCCTCGGTGCAGCAGTAGCGAAGGCTCAGTGCTCAGTGAGGTGCAGAGGCTTCAGGCTAGGTAGGCAGCGCGATCCGCCGCGGGTTTTGCAGCCAAGAAATCCTCGCAGCATCCCGGGAAAGCCGGTTAGGTGACAGCTCAGCACCCCTCGGGTGCCAAGCAGCCCACACCCGGCTACGCATCCTGTTTCACTCACTCACACACTCACTCATTTGCGACTGAGTCGACCTAGGGGAGGCCCAGGACCAGTTCAAATAATTGTCACTGTGTCTGTGAGTAGGAATCGAACTGGGGTCGCCAGATTCATAGCACAGTGCACTAACCGCTACACTACCACTCCCCACACTCATACACACACTCACAACAACAACAACAACCGCCATTCGCCACTAAGTGGCGGTGACATCACCACGACGTTTGTGCCAGGCCATGTGCACCTTGAGGCCACGTGAAGTATCGAACGCCCACTGGCAGGAGGTCACGGGGCAGACCCAGGTGACATGGGTCGACTGACCGAGATGACCGAGATGACTGGCTGATGCACCACCTGTGCCCCCTACTGTACCAACTTGCTGTGCTTTAGCCACCCGGCGCTCCGCTCGTTGTTGTGAGCGTCGCTCCTCCGCCCTCCATTGTTGTTGGAGGGCGACTGTCTCCAAATGCCCAGTAGCGCCCTTCACGCGCCTCCTCTACAGAGGCCGATCTTGACACCGCTGGTACCAGTCATCGGCATGTCCACTCAGCTCCACGTCCTCCTGTACCACATCACTCAATCTCTTCTCTAGCCCGTGCCGCGCCCGTTTAGCCCCCTCGATCCGGCCGAACAAAGCTGTTTAGGCATGCAGTGGTTGGGCATGCGGGCTACATGACCCAGCCAACGCAGCCTTGCCTGCCGGAGGAGCTCACCGATGGGACTTTGCCCAGATCTTTCAAGGATTTGTGAGCTCCTCACACAATCCAGCCTGGTTAAACCCAGGATGGATCGTAGGCAAGTCAACCTAAATTTTTCCAACCGGCGAAGATGCTCCATTAGGGGGGTCCACGTTTCGCAAGCGTAGAGAAGGGAGGGAATGACTGTGGCCGAGAAGACCTGAAGCTTCGTGCGAAGCGACAGACCAGGTAGCTTCCACACAGCGTTACACAACCGATGAAAACATATTGCCGCTTAACTGATTCGGAGTGAGACCTCTGCTGTTAAACTGGAGCCGGTCATAAGCACACTGCCCAGGTATGGGAAACTCTCCACTCTCTCCACTACTGCCCCATCACCGATTGGGAGTTGTGGGGGTGGAGTGTCCGATGGTACAAAATACCCAGGCAGGTGCTTAGTTTTGGTGGGGCTGATGGTAAGGCCCCACCTCTTAGTGGCACGCTCCAGTCTCAGCAGCAGCGTCTCCAACTCCTCTTCTGAATGAGCAGCTATTACCAAATCATCGGCATACATAACGTGGTTGACGAATAGGGAGCCATCCCTTGATCGCACCCGGGAGTCGATCAGCCTCCCATTATATCTGTACCAAATGGAAATTCCCCCGGTACAGCTATTGAAGGCTTCACGACCTACGCGGTCAAAATAGATGTTAAATAATGTGGGAGCCCGAGGACATCCCTGTCGCACCCCAAGGTGTACAGGGAAAGACTCTGACTCCCGGCCACGTAGTTTTACCCGGACCCGCTCACCATCATGAAGGTCCTTAATGATCGTGAGCAGAGGGTCAGGGACTCCGAAAGCACGAAGAACAACCCAGAGCCCAGGCGTACTGATGGTATCATAGGCCTTGACCAGGTCAATAAAGCAGAGATGTAGGTCTTGTTGGAATTCCCTACACCTCTGCTGTAGCAGACAGAAAATATGGCATCTGTGCAGACCGCCCTTTCCTGAAACCGCATTGGGGCTCCGCAAGCCTCTCCTCAGCGTGCCTAGCAAGGCGATGTTGAATAAAGTAGTGAGATGCCCCTGTAGTTGTTACAGTCTGTGCGGTCCCCCTTCTTAAAGAGGGGGACCACCAGGGCATCCTTCCAATCCTGCAGAACTCGTCCAGTGGTCCAGACTGTTGTTATGATGTCATATAAGGCAGTCTGTGCACAAACGCCACCCTCAGCATTTCGCTTGGGAGATCATCTCTGCCCGGTGCCTTTCCTGGTCTCAGACTCCGCATCGCCTTCAGTACTTCCTCAACAGATGGCACCTCAGCCAGCCACTCACAGGGGGTGACCTCTTCCAATATTTGAGGCACCGCAGCCTCAGCAGGGTTTTCCCCACTTTGTGCCATGATGTTTTCCTGGCTGAGGGATTTCCCCTCCCCCAGGACCTCACAGAAATGCTCAGAAAATCTGCAAACCTGTTCCTGGGGGTCGGAG